AACCGACACACCAAGTTTCTGCTTTATAAATGAGAGAGATATACATATATATGTATATGTACATATACATATACATATGAGTCTGTATGAACATATGTATGTGTGTATGTCGGCAACAGTTACAAGGATTGAAAAAAAAACCAGAACAAATCAAAACATAGGACTCAGTAAAATACCGTACTTTCTCAGAATTTCTAAGTAGTCACCACGATAGTTACTTTGGTAACCACTATGAATTCACAGAAAGTGCGGCATTTTGGCCAGGTATGGCCACTGCTGAGCACACCGGCGAAAGGAAATAATTCAGTTCTAAGTGGATTCTATTGATTTCAAAAACCAAGAGCAGCAGAATGATTTGTAACTACTACTAGCGTGTGAGAAAGTTTACCGATAACGCTCCCGTCAGCAGAAAAAAAATCGAACTTACCTCTAAGACTTCCTGTGGATTGCAAGGTACCCAAAAGATATGTCCTAGAAGATCACAAGCGCACGTCTCATTAAGCCTGTAATATAAAAAAATTTACAGTTATATGTTCGAACGATCAAAATAGAGCAGTCTAGATCTGAAAACTTGTAGAATAACTAGTAAATTCGAACTGTATAAGAATGCTTGTTCATGAAAAGCTGCGTATTCTGCTCTACTCTCAGCCCCACGGAAGCAAGTGTAAAAAGCGATGTCGAGTCGTACGTAGTACTACTGGGAGGCATATGAGTTGAGTTTTCTACAGGATAATAAGCTAGAACACACTGAAGTGTCAACTTCTGCCGCGAACTCTTTTGACAGTGTGCCAACTGTCCCTTCACCACCATAGCCCTAGAAGCAAGCAACAATCCTGGATCGGTACTAGCCCAGCCCAACCAAGTCTTCCATATTTAGTGTCTTTTAATTACTACCGACCTTGTGCAGTGGCTCGCCATTGCAAGTTGTAGTATAGCCCATATACGCATTCAGCTGCCACTCCTATTATGAATGGGCGTTGGGTGTAGGGCGCATCCCAGTAACTGGATTAATTAGCGCTGAAACATTATCAACACAGCACCCTTTGTAAGGTATTCAGATCTAAAGGCTCCAATATTTCAATTCAGATACTCAGGTTTGGGATTTGTAGGCATAACTAATTTTTCTCACCACTACGTACATGTGTGACAAGGTATCGCATAAGATTACGGAAGGAGGAATTTCACTTTCTCTTTCTGGCAACTTACAGTGGATAGGTGTATTTATACTTGGTTCCATCGCCTGATGTGCCTCCAACCCACGATTCATTGTTCGTAGTGTAAACCCAAAATAGATCCACAGTTGGGCGACTTTTATCCGTTGGTTTGATAGTGAACTCAAAACTGTCATTTGGCTGAAAATAAAATTTTTCTGTGATATATAAAGATATTATGTACAAATGCAAGGAAATTAAATTCTTTGTCTTTGACCTGGCATACCAGAATTGGCAAAATTTTCGGCAATTTTTCAAAAATGGGAGCAATAACGTCTACTGACAACGGCCTGTCTTTCAGTTTTCTTCCGTTTTCCGGAACTTTTCTTGTGCAAAGTGTGGTACAGATTGCAACATCTGGGCCAATACTATTTTTTGAAGGTTTTGTCCACGCCAAAAACGATTTCTGAAACATCCAACAGGATTCGGTGGCTCCCACGTTTACCATATGTAAAGTGGCAGATCGGAAAACGAGACCTGAATAGGGCGCGTTGAAGGCACAGTTCACGATAATTTTGAGGTAACCATTTTAAGTTGAAAAGAAGAAGTGTTGATGTAGAATAGTGCATCGGTGGCGAAGAAAGCGAGAGATCTCGCCTTTTGCGTGAAAAATACGGCTTTTCGAAAATAGAGGAAATAGAGCTTTTACGAGATTACCATGATGAAAATGGGATGGAAGGGGTACTCGAACGAGGTTTCAGTTTTTACAATTGAGCGAATAGCTGACTACATTAAGTCAAAATTGTCTGAAACTGCCCTCGTCTCTCACCCTGGGTCATGGCAAAATTGTTTGAACTTCCAATATTGGAGTCTCTTGAAATAGTGCAGCCTCTACAAGAGACTCGTCTCTCGTCTTGAGACTCGTCCGCTGTGGGTGTGGCATTACATTATACAATGTCTATCCCCTTATTGTGCCCTATTCAGGACCTTTCTCGACCTAACATCGGCACATATGGTATCAGAGCTTCAAATTCATTCTATGGGGAAATCTCAGAAACATTTTTGTTTGTGAACTCTGCCTTCAAGGGCTCCAAGGCTGAAAAGTACACCCAAAGCCGGGATGAGACTAATGGCGTTTTGGATGAGCACCATTTATAGAGGACACCCACGTTGAAAACTCAAATAACTGGTTCTGACCCAAGGCGGCGCAGTAAGACGATTCTGGACATCTGGACATTTTTCTCAATGTAGTCAGCTCTTAACGCAATTGCAACAGCTGAAATCTATTCTCAATCTCTATCATAACAATCTTGTTCAACGTAGATTATCACTACTTTTAAGTAGCCCCATTTTTCGCGGGGTCGACGGATTTTCCTGCCTTGTTCTCTCAAGCCTCCCGCTTCCCATCCTCATGAGAAGCCTCGAAATTATCGTGAACTGTGCCTATGAGCAACCCTCACTCGGAAACCGAAAAGCTTCCGATTTCCGGTTTTGGCATGTTACATAATATCTTACTGCTTTTACAAATGGAATTGAGATGTTGTAGCTCTTTACCACAGGACCAAATCACTGTTCCTTTATCACGATAACCATTTTTCTTCCCGTTAAATCGTTGCTTAATCGAAAATTCGGAGCCATGCTACCTATTGTTTGCATTGTTTCGTAAGGCAACCATGATGGCTTGCACGAATCCAAAATAGCTGAGATTTCATAAACCATCTCGAGAAGAACATACAGCAATTTAATTCTGTTCTCCCTTGAACACTTTTCGAGTAGAAATGTTGTGTTAAACTCACCAGTCCAAACTTCCTGTTAAGGAAAAATTTCTCTCCTGATGCTAGATCCTCTAGAAGTTTCGGTGTGTATTCTTCAATCGGAGCAGCAAAATCCATATCCATCGTGTGTGGGATAATGTTGCACTCACGATACCATCCTGAATATTTACATTCAATTTTGCTATGTTTGTTTTATGGCATTTGTATTTCTCGAAAGAGATAAAATGCTGTATTTGTAGGAAGGCAATTTTCGAGTTGATATCTATCTAATGAAATAGCATTAACCTTACATATAGCATAGCGAACAATATTGTCAGCTTTTGGAATACTTCACTCTGAGTCGAATTATGGAAGAATGACGAAGAAGAAGCGAGCTCGCGTTATTTGCGTGAATTTTCGAGTTTTCATGGCTAGTACTGTATGTAACATGTAAGTACTGTAACAATGTGTGCAAATTTGTTTGCCGATTTATCGGTTAGCCTGTAGGTCTGAGAAAACTTCATGGCTATGATGAGAACTGATATGGGAAACCTAATTGATAAAAAGGTCTAGATAAGGTAGGTGACCCATGTTAGTATGAAGATTATGGTAGAGCTCATGTAGCATCATCGAGAACAACGACCCATATTTCTAGCAAAAAACAAATTAGGTTGATGCATGTTTTCGAGCCCGACTTTTCTGTAAATATCTCAATAGCGAACCAACTTGTAGATTAGAGGTATGCACCATCACCATCCACCGCTCGAGCTTAACGTTCAGGCAGCTTGTCGGTTCATTCCTCCCGAATGGACGGGGGTTGGGATTTGAAGAAATCGTCTAGTGCCTTTCTGACATCATCTTCTGTTCCAAACTTTTTTTTTGTCTAGAAGGCGCTGCAGCTGGCTGAACAGCGAACAGTCGGAAGGAGAGAAGTTATGGCTGTAGGGGGCTTGGCGACAATGAGCCATCCGTACTNGGGGGTTGGGATTTGAAGAAATCGTCTAGTGCCTTTCTGACATCATCTTCTGTTCCAAACTTTTTTTTGTCTAGAAGGCGCTGCAGCTGGCTGAACAGCGAGCAGTCGGAAGGAGAGAAGTTATAGCTGTAGGGGGCTTGGCGACAATCAGTCATCCGTACTTCTCCAGCCCGGGCCTAGGTCGCCTTTGCGGTGTGAGGTCGGGCGTTATCAAGGTGAAGGCAGATTCCTGCACTCGATCCACGAGTGCGGTCGACGTAATCTTCCAATTTCTCCCGGTGCTCAATGCTTCTTCTGGACCACCAATAGGAAAAGAGAACCTTCTTGGAGTAAAGTTCTGCTTTGAGATGGCTCCTGGCTATTCTCCTTTATCGACCCACCGCCGCTTCTTCACAGGGTTATAGTAGAGAACTCTCTACTCATCTCCAGTGATCATCGAATCGAGAACGTGGAGCTTCATTTGGAAAGAAGTGAGAGAGAAGTGGTAAGGAGAGAAGTGCAGATAGCCACCCTCCTAGAGAGGTCATAACGGACAGTTCTTGCGGGATCCATCGACCAAGCCTTGCTTCCTTGCCGAGCTGATCCAGAACACGTACAATCGTCGACTGACTATAGCCGAGCATGGTTGCCATTCCCTTGGTGGTTAGAAACGGGTCCTCTTCCATGTTGGAAAGTGGAACTTCCAAATACCACCCGTACGAAATCAGGCTGTGGCGCAGGTACATTCTGTCACAGTGGTAATTGTGCGGCATTATGGCCTGCATATGCAGGGTGGGTGAGTGATAGCTAGTGTGATGAAAGGGTATCATGCACAGGTAACGCACCCGTAATGACGAAACGCCAACATCGATGCAAGAGAAATACGGAAGGATCAAACACGGGGAAAAAGTAATGCATCAACCTAATAATTGAAATATTGATACGATGATTGACCATGTAATCATGAAGTAACTCTCCAATGCAGTGAGCCAACTCAGTGATGAAGCCATTAGCAGAGGGACACTTCTGTAACATTATATCAATGAATTTCAGTAGCTTGGGATTTTCATGAATATGTAGGGCCATCAGACTGCCTTCCTCGCTACTGATTTCAGCCTGTTTTTTGATACCGGATTTACATCACTTCCAGAGGAATCGAGGGCTCACCGACCATAAGGAAGCTTGGTTGGGATATACAATACATAATTATGTCATATTCTCTTAAAACGCGCTGCTGCAATTAGGGAGATAAGAAGTTCATTCCTCACATGCTTCTCATAATGCATGCGGACTGAGTTCACAGTCTTCTTTACTGGGTAACCACTGTAGGTTCTGACGCAAATCAAAACTAAATGAGATGCTTTTTTTAGTCCTCATTCGCATCTTAAGCCTCATAAGAGTTTCGAAAAAGAGAGAATGAGGAACTTCGTTGGAGCAGGGGTCGGCTTGGAATTGAGCAGTGCCTATTAGTCAGTGCGGTTAGAAAAGGCGTGCCTTCTACTCAAGCCTCAGACGTGCCAGAAAAAGTGAAAATGTTAGTATTCCGTGCACCGAACATGGAATTTTTGGCTTTTAGCTATTGCGAAAAGTTCCCAATTTTATGGAAAGATGAGAGGTGCCCGTTTTCGCCACTGACTCACCTAGCATTGAGCCGCCATTCAGGAACGGATAGACGTCGAAATTGATGAGATATCTCATTAATGACGACATTACTTGTACACTTTTCTCAACAGGCAGATATGGTCTTCCAGCCGCATGCCTTCTCATATTTAGACCAAGACAATCGATAAAATTCGATCTCTTCCAGGCTTCAAGAAACTTCTTCGTTTCGCGAGGAATGGAGAGATTTCCATTGATGTAGAGAGGAGTCCTGGAAATTCAACCGATTGTGCTCACAACTTCCTCTTATGTTTTAAGAAGTGGTGGAACTGGACAACCTACTTTGGAATGATTCTCGTTGTCTCGTGATCGTAAACTCGGAGATAGTCTCTGTCAGAGAAGGTCTGGTAGTACACAATATCGTATTCCTCATAATCCTTATTACGTACTGATTTCAGAAGGTCCACATTGGCTGCTAACCGCACTTTTTGCCCTTGCTTGCATCTGTTTTCTCCGAGGTTTTGCAGGATATGTGTGTCGATCAAAAGAGCTCGAAAAGGTGGATTGATCGTTACGAGGAGCATCGAACAATTCATCTGAAAATGTTCATGTTCTGAATGTGCGTGCACTTTTGCGACATTCATGGACCTACCACAACCTGATAATCTCCCATCCACATGCTTCTCAGAATATCATTCGACTTCAGCATAAATACAATAAAGGCAGGAGTTGTACATAAAATAAGAAAAAATAGCCAGTATTGACGCATATGATATCTCCCTGAAAAAATTTTCAATAAGAGGAAAGTATTGAACTCCGCAATACGTAGATATATTAGAGAGACGAAATTCGCAGTAGAAACTTCTCTAATAAACTCAATCCCTATCAGTTTCAGTTACAAAACAGTTGCGCACCAGCTTAGCGCAATTCATTACATTAGCAATGCAGGTAAACCTTGATCAAATCGATCGAAAAATGCTAACAGTGAAATAGACATATTCACATGAATTTATCAGAGAATATTTAATTTTTTATAACATAGAGTTCACCCACCACTTTTTACTCTCAGTTATTTCTGCCTAGCAACGAAGTCTAGGGCTTGTCACTGACCGGTTTCATCTCCTTTTTGATAATTACATCAAGCCCAAATACCAGTCGCTGCTACTACCGTTTATAACCTTTATAACCAGTGAATGAACTTTGAGGGCTCTAAGGATACAGAGGGGATGATCTTTTACATTTTGGAAATAGTGAAAAAGTCTATTCTGATCTACAGGAACTGAAGGGCTCAGCCGGGACCTTCGGATTATCTCGCTCAAAACAGGAAATTGAGACACTGTAAGTTCCACGGCTTGTTCAACTAGGAGTTTAAATCTAGAGGCTCTTGTGTAAGCCTTAGGCACCGTCTGGAAAGTTTAGTCTTCACGAAGCCATGTACTTCTTTTTTGAACTTTCCTTTTTTTCTATGATTCTAAACGAACTAAGGCTTGCAGAATGGGAGTTCCAGTAGGCAAAACTGATATAAACCAACAGTCTATGGGAACCGTATTTCTCACTAGGAGAAAGCGGATGAGATACGTACCCCATGGTAATCTGAAATAGCCTACATTTCCGCTATTACGCATCGACAGAGTAATGAAGGATAAAGTCTTCGGGCGTTAATCGAATGTGTCCGGGCGATGCAGCCCCGCATTTGACTTCCATTCAGAATCTTAGTGAGGTATTGAATGCGTATGTAGCCCATGCAATAACTTGCGGTGGTCATCCGATGTGCAAGTGAGCGCTTTTGCTCTCAAAGGTGAGTCATATAACTGAAACCAGAGGGAGGGAAAATTGGGTTGGTCCAGATGTTTGTGGATCCGGGATTAAAACTCGTGACCATGCTTGTGTAACAGTGCACCACATGCCACTACACCACATCCACCCTCCATCAATGTGATAAAATTTCTAGCTCGCTATCTAAATTTTAACATATTTCTGACATCACTGAATTACCCTCTATTTAGATGCCTTTTTTCCTATTTTTACTTTTTCCTACAGCAATGATTGAACTGAAGAGTTCCCCGATAAAGCGTAAAGTCAGAGAGAATCGCAATATCACTCTCAAGTTTTTGTCATCAAAATGTATGAAATTCAGCACAAGTTCATTTCTGCACCTACGACCTCTTATTAACGTTTTGCCAATTTTTGCATACTTCGGTTGTCAAAGTCTTCAAGTCTCGGTGCCTCAGGAATATCAGACTCTTCCAAAGGAAACAAATTTCAGGAATGCGCGAGCCCTGAATGCGATCTTCATTGCCACCGTCTAAAGATCTTCAAGGAGCTCATTGAGCACGAAGTAGTCGCCGTACGGTCGTTCAGCAAATCTGCTGATCACTAAAATCTTCCAAGGGTCTCTTAACTGCAATACTCGACTGAAGTAATTATCCTCATGATGTTGAAAGCAACTAGAAGTCGTAACCGACGATGTCCAAATAAGAAACAAAAGGTAGATTTCTAACGTCCATTCTATATAACCAGAGCCACTGTTGTCTATAACAGGAGAACCACTTGAAAGACGAGAAAAGAGATCCGTGAAGGGGGAACCCCTTGTCGAAGGTAAAGGCTCAGTTCACGACAATTTTGGGATATCCAGTTTTAGATGAATGGTGGGAGTGATCGTCAAAAATAAACAAATAAAAAAAAGGTTCAGAGAAATGACTAACTGTAGAATCGACTAACTGGCTCCTCCTTCTTCGTAACAAATGATACTACCAGGTTGTTCGGAAAGAAATGCGCGTTCCCATCCTGTCCCCAATATTCCTACCTTGCACACTCTAGGTCTACGGGCACAGTAGTTATGATTCTGCGTCGGACACGCACACCTCGAGGGGAGACTTGTGCTCGGAAGGCTCCCGTCTGAAAGCACAGCACTCGTGATAGGAACGGCAATATGCTGGCTACCATTCAGGAGGAGATGAAAAATGGTCATGAGCACAGAGAAAAAATGAATATAGGCGAGACTCCATTGCGGAAAAATTGGGCACATCATATAGCGCTGTTTTGTGAAAGAAAGGAAGGGTGTGTGATGAGTGTTGCACATGGAGAAGATAGAAAAATACCTGAGAACCTGTGCAAAATATAGACAGAGAATCTCAGATGGTATTAACAATAGAGAAGATTCATTGTGATCCCTCATAAGACGACAATAACGTTTCCTAGAAGTCTATATATGAATTCATGACAAAATAAAGTTTTAAGTTTAACGTTTTTGGCGTTAATTCATCCCGTCTGAGGGATGCGCCCCCGCACTCGACTCCCATTCAGAATCGTAGTGGCGTAATGAGTGCGTATGTGGCCTGTACAGTGACTTGCGGAGGCCAGCCGATGTACAAGTCAGTGCTTTTATCTCCCCTAAGAGTCTGGTACCAATCCACCGACCCGGGAGGAATGGAAGGCTCGGTTGGCCTAGACGGGCATCGATCCAGGATTCGAACCCCTGACCATGCGTATGGTATAAAGCGCTACTTGCCATTACAACACCTCCGCCAATACGCAAAAGTATTTATCATGAAACTGACCATATAAAAAAGCTTCAACGTAAAAAGCTGAGCATGTGAAAGAGGGCTTAGAAAAAAGAATACTGCCGTAGTTAAAAGTTCTCTAAGATACAGATCTGCTGTGATGACATTAGATGATGCATGTGATCGCGTGTCTGGTGTAGACATTGTTTACAATTGCTTCTCACTTCATGTGTCGATGATTTAGATGTGCAAAAGCTCGTTATCAGAAATGTTGAACTACTTACTACTAATACTTGGGAAATCACTTTTTTGATGACCTTACAAAAGGGTGAGGA